AGACTATCCTGTATCTTCCTGTCCTCAGGAAATAATTCAGACAGGATGAGCACTCAAAACAACTCTGAGTGTGTGAAGGGCGGAGCATGACTCTTAAAATCCCCTGGCTTGATTTCACACGGAATATCCAAATTTGGGAAAATAAAACTATTGTGTATAGGATTGAAATTCAAGGTGTGACAGAGAGGCTTTCAGATGCTCACAATCTTGCCAGAAACTCCAAAGCTATGAACTATCAGGTGCTGCTTTACCACCTCAAATGACATGAAATGCTGTGGTTAGAAGTTGCCCTGTGAATTGTAGTCTGTTTCTGTAAAGGCTCGAGTTTACTGTCCTACCTCTGTAATCACTAATGACCTTAAGGTGCTGCTGAGAAGGAAGTGGGTTTCAGGCCACATGTCCTGTTTTGTCTTTATACTTTGCTCATAGCCATAGTTCCTGAAGGCTTCCAGGAGTATATTAAGCAGGCTAACATCTGTACAATAACTAACATCTGTTGTGCCTTTTCTGTCTCCTCCCCAGGGGAGATGTGTGGCAGAGTGGTTTGCTTTATTTTAAATGGACTTCCAAAACAACAAAAAAGCACATTAAAAAAACCCCTTTCCTGATAGAAGTCATCTTTGAGCTCAACAAAAGCACATGCAAGGTAAAGTCAAGGCAATGTGCCATGTATTTCCAGCAGAAGGCAGCACAGCGGGTTCCAGAGTGGGTTTAAGTGGAGCAGTCTGGAGAAGGCTCCTCATCCTGAGCTGATGAGCTGCACTTCACTGTAGGCAGTTTCTCTGAGCTAAAGGATCAGAGCTGCTGAGCTGAGTCTTCAGTCTGGAGCTCTCCTCAGCCTTTGGGTGCAGTGTCTCATGCTGTCTTCTGCTGCTTTCAGTCCAACTCTGAGTGCAGTTCGCAGCAGCCATGCATTGGGTAGTGGCTGTTGCTTAAGCAATCTGTTGTGTGTATGTGTCTCTTTTCCCCAAATGCTTTGTGAGTCTTTGAACTCAAAGAGGTGCAGGGAGATACAAGGTCATTCCTTTTCTTAATCAAACAATGTTCATGAAGATCTTTGTACATGGAACTGAGCAACCTTTGCCTCACAGCTGTAGTCCTCCAGAGTATTCCCATCCTGCCTACCACAGCTGACAAAAGTTTCATAGAATCACAGAATGCTTTGGGTTGGAAAAGACCTTTTGATCATTCAGTCCCAACCCCCTGCCATGGTCAGGGACACCTTCCACTAGAGCAGGTTGTTCCAAGCCCCTGTGTCCAACCTGGCCTTGAACACTGCCAGGGATGGGGCAGCCACAGCTTCTCTGGGCACCCTGTGCCAGCGCCTCAGCACCCTCACAGGGAAGAACTTCTGCCTCAGAGCTCATCTCAATCTCCCCTCTGGCAGGTTAAAGCCATTCCCCCTTGTCCTGACACTACACTCCCTTTGTAAAAAGTCCCTCTCCAGATTTCTTGTAGGTCCCTTTCTTGTTTCCCTTAAACTTACTCATAGCTTACTACTTTCAGTTCTCTTTCCTTTTATTAGTCACAGAACGCATGTTTGTGTCAGTGGTTTTTGTACATCATTCTTTCATTTGTAAAATGTCGCTGTTGTACTACTGCTGATGACTGTACCTTCTTCTAACCAGGCTTAGCTAGGTAGTCCTGCTTATAAGATCTTAACACTTTAGGTGGTGTAACTGGTTTGGGTTAATCCTGGAATAGTTTATTTTTGGAATGGAACTTTGCATGTCATCTGGTCCAACCTCCCGATCCAAGCTGGGCCCAATTTCAAAATGACATTAGGTTGCTCAG